AGGCAGATTTTCAGTCTTTGTTCGGATTTCATACGCTAATGTAATACTCGATCCTGATTTTCTTATTACTAAAAAATAAGCAGTCCGCACGCATTTCCTTAGCAACAATTCAATAAACATTACCAGTTTTCCATGTACAATCCGAGTTAAAGATTTTTTTAAGATGAGAAAAAAACAATGAAAACAGTACAGACGTAAGAAAAATCAAGAATTAACAAAATAAACAAAATCGACACTTTTAAAACAAACAAGCTTATGAATTTGCTGTTTTTTTTTCTTGGAAAATCGTGCCAATAATTATCCTATTTCCCCTCAAAAAAGAGGAAATGGAAAGGAAATTACTAGTATTATTATAAGTTCATCAAAACAAATTTGCAAAAAAAGAGGTAATAAATTCTATTCTAATGGTAAAGAAATTCAGAAGCTGTTTTTCTCACGCACGCTTTTTTCTCGCACATTTATTATTCATGATACAAAAAAATTCCCAATAAGAAAAAAAAAATAATATCTTTTGAACAAGAAAAAATTTCAAAAAAAAGGTGTGCCGTTCCCATAAAGACTGGAAAATAATCGTTTTTTGAACTAAACTGAGGGATTATTTGTGGATTTTCTAAAGAGGAAAATTGAGATTGGATACCACTTATTCGGTCGTTGTTTTCTTCCGAAGAAACTCCATTTAATACCAAGCTAAAAACTGAAAAGCTAACTGTCTAAAACACAGTTCAAAAATTCCCGGAGTTCCATGAAAAAAAAAAAATACAGGATGGCCAAAAAACAAACTCCCGAAGATAAATCCCAATCTATCAATGCGGAATCTAGTTAATTCAAAAATTCCCGCGATTCCATGAAAAAAAAAACACAGGATGGCCAAAAAACAAATCCCTGAAGCTAAATCCCAATTCTTCAAATTCCCAGAATTCGTTGATCAGCAAATTCTTTTTGCATAATTTTTGCTGTAAAATTTTACAGGTAACGAAAATTATTAGTAACATCAGTGGCAGCAGTGTGTCCAGAGGAGGTGTCAAAAATTCCTGTTGTCTGCGATACATAGGTACCATTGCTGGCAGAACCAGGAGATAATGATGATGATGCAGGCGATGACTGCACCGGGTAAGCGCCCGGAACTGAGAATTGTCCTGAGTATGGGAAGTAAAAACTGTATGAGGTATTGTGATTGGCGTGACCGTTCGGTCCAGGCGGTACCACGATCGGTGTGATACGCTGCTGCTGTTGCTGCGGCGATGTGGAGCAGGGTAAACCAACGCTTCCAACCGGTGACAGTGTTGAGAGGGTTCCGGCAGTTGGTGGTGGTGTAAGTTGCACCAAACTTAGCATCTCCTCATCAGCCGATGCAGCATGGCGCGGTGAAACTTGCTGTAGGTTGTGTGTTTGCGTGGATACATCGGCACGTTCCCGGGATGTTGTTGATGGAATCACTTCACCCGGTGAATCGAAAAATATTTGAAGAACCAACGGATCAATGGTCTGCGAGCCAAACACCCGAGCAAACTGCACATTTTCGCAAAAAATTGAAGAAATTTTCTGAAAAGATAAAATCGCATCGAAAAATCCAAATGTGAAATTTATCAGCGCATTTTGATAAGGAACTAGCCACCGAATTCAAATGAAATTTTTTAACTGAATTCTAAGCAATAGGTAAATTCTATTAATCAGTTATCATTGGGGTGGATAAAGTTGAATCGGGTGGTAGCTGACAGATATCAAAGACGATATTTAAAATAATTCTTGAAATAATTCTTATAATTTACAAATTTTGTAATTCTCATCTTCAACCTTTTTTACTCTTCCTTTTCTTTTATCCATTGTTAAAATACCCTATTTTTAATCCTATTTCGACCCGGCAAGTAGTTCCGCCGGAAGAAATATCCAGCTGGCAGCCTTTCAGAAGATGGAACGCCTTTTAAGGATGGCCAAAAAGCTGACCATTCGGCGACGCAGCACTGGTCAAAAGAACTGGAAAACTGTGAATCACATGAGGTCAGGATCGGACTTTGAATTACACCTAATTCAAGCATTACGAATACTCAAAACCATGAAATTTCGAAATTATATTAGTTGCAGAATTCAAATGTGAAATAATAAAATTTTATTACTCAGTGATTGCTAATTTGTTTGGCTGCCCTCTTTTGAAACGTCATAACAAAAAAATGCCCTCACTTTCAACAGCAACCAGTTTCACTAGCAACACAAAAATTCAGACCCATTATCCTTCAAAACTCAAGAGCAAATTTTCTTCCTTGTTACGAATAATAAAAAGTGGAAAATTTCGAAAACTCTTTTCCAAGGAAAAAAAAAAATTCCAGCATCTGAAAGTACAGATAAAGAATTAAACCAGCGGAACACCCCCACAGCCAAAAAAATTTCAGCAACTGGAAGTATAGATAAAGAATACCCCCCACCTCTAATTACAGCCAATTCTATACACCCATGCTCATTATTGTAATCGTTCACAGTGAAGCAAGTTATTTTCCCCCTTATCATTGCTAGAAAGTGAGAAAATTTAAAAATTTCTTGAAAAGGTAATCCCAAAAAATAATTCAGAAACTGAAAAATGAAGACGAAGACGGGATCAAAAAAGCGTTTTTACAGGCGGATTCTGCATTTCCAGGGATTCGTGAATGCGGTAAAACGAAGTAGGCTGTTTAAATTTCGAAAAAATATGAAATATTGGCTACTCAAAACAGCGAAATGATTACCGCTAGCGGTGGCAGTAACAGCAGTATGTTGCCAAAACGTGATATTGCAGCCGAGACTGGCTGTTCTGCGGAGCCCACACGTTCTCGGATCACTTGAAACAGTGCGTGCTGCACTCGATCGCGCAAAGCTGCTAACGCTCGTGATGTATCCAACGTCAAACCTGGCACATCTGAAACAAATATGAGCTGATCTGTAAGGTTTTGTGATCTTATCCGGACTGCTACTACAGCAGCGACAGCGGCAGCAAGGAAGACTAGCTCAAGTAAGTTGCACATCTAAGCTGATTGTAGCATACAAGTAATATTAAGAACTTAAATAGGGCAGGAATGGAACGAACTATGTACTGATGGTTGTAGAAATATAGTATTGGGCCAGTGTGAAACTACCATTAGTTGCGAGTCTAAGATTGGCCGAACTAATATACCTACTTCGTAGTTGCGAAGCGTGAAAACGGAGCGATCCACAAACTACTAAAGTACGGCACAGCCAGGCCAAACTGGGCTTGGCGCAAACGTGTTCTGAAATCCTATTGATTCGGAGTGGAGCTAGGTTAATTATGTCGAAGAACTAAAGAAGGAGGGAAGGAAGAACACGACTACAGGACTCAGATCATGTGGTGTGAAACCGTATGTCATGTTAAAAAGTCATGTAGAATGGAAGATGTAGCGAAAAATCCCTTAGCTGTAAACACAGACAGCAATCGGGTGTGATACGGGCGGGAATCATAAGTACAGCCCTCGAGCCACTATGTTAATAAGTCATGTAACAAGGTATCGAAGAGGAAGATGACATAAATGGAAAGCAGTAAAAAGAGTGAATTAAGCAAACATAGCCAGATTTACACGCCTAAGTTAGCTTATCACAATAGCATCAGTACCGATCAACTAAACCATACTCTTCGAAATACTTAAAAAAGTTTCAACTAATAAAACTTCTCTTATTATTTATATAATCTTTTTAGTAAATCCTGAAATATTTCCTTTTTTCGAAATATTTGAGTTTATAAAAGAATTTTACAAAACTTTTGATTATGCATCACCAGCTATTTCTGGCAAAAAATTTCTAAAAACAGAATCCGACAAAAAAATTTTTGGATCTAATAACCTAAATATTTTTTTGAAGGGCTTAAAATTAAAGAAGATTAAACGAACGACCGAACCACTAGCTGGGCAGCCACCGGCCGATGCGGCACTGGTCAAAGCAGTTAGAAAACGTTGCTAGCTGCAAAAACTGGGAAACATCAGATTTTACTACTGCTATTAGAATAAGTTGTGCCGAAACACAGGCCCAGAAAACAGCCTAAGAAGCACTCGAGCATTTCTAATTTTAAAATATTACCAGGATCCAAGAGAACAAGCGATATCAGCGCAACTATTTCTGTTTCGTTAAGTAGCAGTTTCCGAATTGGCTGTGTGAGCTCATCCAGAATTCGTGCAGCCATGTTGTTCGACAGAAAGCTGCAAAGTGTGGTAATATACAGCTGACCGTCTTTCATTGCTAAAAAATAGGCAGTGTTCAAAAAAATCTTCATTGATACTAGTATATAAGATGCACGCGTTTAAGCATGAAAAATTATGTGTTCCTCCAAGATTAATGTCCTTGCAAAGTTTCAGCTTTGCAGCTTGTCGGTAAGCGAAATTGCCACCTCGTTGCAAATATCTTTGAAATGCCCTAAAGTACGGCGCAAGTGTAGTTCGAAACTTGAGTTAGGCATACGATTTTCCAGATGGACGATAAATATTCTGGCAAAATTAGAGCTACTGTTTTTCGGACAGTTTTCGAGCTTGTGCAATGCCAACTTATGAACCATAACGTGACCACACGCACGATGCAAGCGTGCGGATTAGCTGAACTGAAATCTTTAGCGTATGTATGGACAGAAAATATCCCTGCAAAGTCCCAGCTTCCTACGTTCACCAAAATCGTTTTCCCCCAAAAAATTTACATATTCCTTCAACAGATTCGCAAGTAAAATCTAAGCGCGCATGAGCGATGATTTTAAAACGGTAAAACGATACACGGGATGAAAATGAGCACCCAAAATTTCAACCTCCCAACTTTGTTCGTTGCTGAGTTGAAAGTGGGTGACAAAGTTCACTCGTTTTTTTTTTT